GGCGGAGCCAGGGGCCACTTAAGGCGGAGCCCGGGCATTGTGGCAGCACCGGAGCCTGGCGACAGAGCCAGGCTGAGCTGGCACCCACGACCCCCCTTCCCTGCTATGATGGCCCATCAGTAGCAGGTTACAGAACCCCCGGGGGCATGTGGGCAGAGCTAGCGGCAGCCAGGTGCGTAGAGCCACAAGAGCTCTAGGGCACTCTGGGGGCAGTTCTGCCTGCTGCGCTCTCTGGTGCCGCGGGAATGCCCAACTGCCGGGCGAGCTGGTAAGGACAAGAACGTTCCCTTTTGGCCCGACTCTGCTGTATCCATGGCGCTGCTGGCCAGTCTGGTGCTCCTGTGCTGCTTGGCACTTCTGGCGCTGCCAGCCCAGAGCTGCGGGCCGGGCCGGGGGCCGGTTGGCCGGCGCCGCTATGTGCGCAAGCAGCTTGTGCCGCTGCTCTACAAGCAATTTGTGCCCAGCGTGCCCGAACGGACTCTGGGCGCCAGTGGGCCGGCCGAGGGGAGGGTTGTAAGGGGCTCAGAGCGCTTCCGGGACCTGGTGCCTAACTACAATCCTGACATCATCTTCAAAGATGAGGAGAACAGTGGCGCAGACCGCCTGATGACCGAGGTAAGGTGGGCGTCTCCTCACCTGTGCCAGGGCACGGCCAACTTCTCTACTTTCCTATAGCAGCCCAGGAGGGTGAGCTGGGCTTCATCTATAGAGACCTTAATCTCAAAGACCTTCCCCCACCCCACTCCCCCCAAAAATAAAACTGCTGGCTGGACTGAGTGATCAGGAGAGATCCGAACTGGGAGAGGCTGGGATGGGGAGAGGGAGGAGGGACTAGTGAGAGTGAAGCTGGGAGAGACTTCGAGGGCGAGGGCGGGGAAAGGGGGATGGCGGCAGGCGAGACGGGAAATGGCTGAGGCGTGGACCGGGGGTCAGCTACCGAGCCAGGCAGGAAGGGCTGGGGTGAGCTGGGGGCCAGGAGCTGGCTAGGCAGCAGAGAGAAAGCTATGCCCTTAGACTGGCTTCTGACCTGATTGTGGAAAATCTCTGTGAGCCAAAGAGACTGAAGGACGCTGGGAAGGGGTGGCCAAGAGTCAGGTCACTGGGCCATCTACCTGAGGAAGGGCTGGGCAGGAATTGTCTCTGGCATAAGGGAGACATCCTAGAACCAGGGCAAGGTTATTCTAGGGTCTAAAGGACTGTCCAGGTGAAAAGCAGTACTTAATGGGAAGAGCAGATGCGCCCACCTGAGAATCAAAGGGTTGCTGTGTCCCTCAAGCTCAGTTTAGTTCAGGGGCTTTCGGTGGAATTAAAAAAAAATAAAATTCAACTATGTATTGAGCATCTGCTGCAGACCAGAACCTAACCAGCCTAGGGTGAGGTGAGCAATGCTTTGGGATCACCTCTGGCCAGTGATCTCAAATGTTGGAACTGAAAGGAAACTTGGAGGTCACATTCTTCTACCATCACCCCACCCCGTTTTACAGTGAGAGTTAGGCCTCGGGAGGAAAATCGATTTAATCATAGTCTTAAAACTAATTAGTGACATGGCTGGAACTAGAATTCAGGACTCCTGATTCTAAGTCCTATACACTTTCCATTACACCACCTAATTGTGTATGGAGTGGGGAGGTGGGGGGAGAGGGAGGGGTACGGATTTCCTCTTATTAATTGCCATAGTTTTCCAGGTTACTTTGTTAGGAAAACCTGTCTAGGGGAGAAAGAATCCCTTTTTGCTCCTGCCCTGAAGCCTTCCTCCTACCCAGAAATTGGGAAGGAGATACTCCATCCCTCCTTGGTCATGGAATGTTGTGGTCCTTTCCTCTGGCTGCCACCTGCAACAGAGTTGGGCAGAACAAGGCACAGGCCCCAGGAGGGGCTCTGACAGGCTTGGGAACCCTTTGGGTCCTGCTTATCTCCCACACCCTGGCTGCAAAAGGCCTCCATTGAGTTGGTTCTGCACTGGGCTGCTGCCCCCGCAGGTCAAGGCCTCAAGGCCTCCTTACGGGACAAAACGACAAAAAGTTGGAAGGAGCTACCACTTTCTCTGTCTTTCCCCTCCCCTCCTCTCCTGCGGAGGTGTAGAAGACTCGGGGAGAAGGGCAGGGGGAAATTGTCCCTCCAGCAGTTAGGAGAAAACCAAGTCCAAGGTGAGAGGTCGGAGAGGGAGAAGAAAAGGAAGCTGTCTTCTGCGCCTCCTCCCGCCCCGTCTGTGCTATGGTGCGCGCCAAGGTCTCCGGCTCCTTGGCAAAGATAACCGCAGTCTCACTCCCCCGGGCGCAGGCTTCCAGCCACTGCTGCTTTTCCTCTTCTCCACTCCCACCCTGCAGGGGGCCCCCCAGATCCGCACTAGGGCAGCTCCGACTATTCTCAGGTGCTGCTCCCACGCTTCTCTGGGCTGCATCTGGACCAGAGATGGAGAGATGGCAGCTCTCAGGACTGGCAGAGCCCGAGCTGGAACGGGGAGGGCTGGCCGCGCTGGGGGAGGGGGCCGGCCGGCCGTGGCGAGGATGGGGGGCGCGGCTTTCTGCCCTTTCGTCTCTCTGAGCCGAGGCGGCTGAAAAGCGCCTTTGTGGATGGAGCTGCTGAGTCCGCTTCTCCCAGCGCGTCCCCGGCCTCGGCCCGGGATTCTCGCTTGGTTAAGTCATCCCGGAGAATGGCCATTGTACTTCGTGCAGCCCCCGCCACCCCAACCCTTGTTCCAGCGGCCTTGATCCCGCAAGGCTCCCCAATGGCACCTCCGTGGGGGGCAGTGGCCCTACGAAGGGGTTAATGCTAGGGGCCGACAGGCGGAGGAGGAAGGAAGGAAGGAAGGAAGCGATGCCCGCTGCCAGGGAAGGCCACGAAACAAAAGAGGAATCGGGTGGAGGGCGGGCAGCGGGGGCTCGCGGTGCGGGCCAAGCGCAAACAGGGGCTCCTCTCGGGGAGCCAGGCTGCTCAGCCCCTCCCTG